GGGTTTCCTCTCAAAATCCCACTTGACTGTGTTACACTGACCTAAGAACTTGCGTCAGAGTCTGCGTGTTGAGGGAGTCCGTTCAAGGCCCTCCCTAACCCAGTGCAGTGCTGGCAAAGCTGTGGCATTCCTGCAGCAGTGAGCGCACAGAGCCCTCTGTCCGCGCACAAGCTAAGCCGCCCAGTGGCCAAGCATGGGATAACAGTGTTTGCTAACCTAACTCAGTATTGAGGTTTACTTGCAGGCTTGGCACTTGACGATAAATAAGTTGGTTTGGCCTTGCAGTTTGGACACTCTGTCTCTAAAAGGTTTGCCGTCACTAACCTAGTGCGAATCTAACTTGGAAGCCTCGTTTCTTGCCGTCCTTTACTACGAGGGGGCAGTAACTTCCTGTAGCAGCAACTTCAAGATGTTTAACATTCTGTGTAATGTCACCCATTCGCAGCTTTCTACAGGGTATTTCTTGTAAGGGTTCATTCTGCTGCCCTCTGATGGGGTAGCAAGCTGTAGCTCATCCTTGCAAACCCACCCGTCCCCTCTTCTGGGGACCTAACTCCTCATCACACCTGCCCATCTTGGTCGGCCTGACCCACTTCTCTGTATGCCTTACACCAAGGAACCTTGTAAATACTTACTTTGTCCAAACGTGTGTGCATCTGACTTCCTTCCTAAACTGTGAACTCTTTGAGAACAAGTAGAATGTAGAATTTAAATCTGTATCTTGGTGCCTGAGGTTGAACTCAATAGAAGTTTGTTGGACTATATCTATCTAATCTACATTGTGGATAGATTATAATTAAAAAGCAAATACAGTATCTAATTTCTAGGACATAAACAAGATTGGATATGTCATTGACTTATAAGATAAACATATTTAGGTGTTCTGTAATTTTACTCATCTATCACAGAAGTATTAGGATGTTACCACTGAAATGTATTTCGTTTATATAAATACTGGAAAGAGTAGTCTCCGTGTATTTGATGGCTTACACTGCCAATCTTTTCTCCAAACTATTTGAAATAGTTTACAAGAAAAAAAGGTGAAATAACAGAAGAGCATCAGACCTAGAAGAAAAAGACAATCATCACTGGTCACAGAGGAAGCTGTGGGAGGTTGCGAGGATTACTTACTTAGAAAAAATAGCCTGTGACAACAATCTGCCAAGCTGTAGCTGATCATTGCTGTGGTACTTCGGCTCATGCACCTAATTCTTTCTGTGATTCCGGTTGCTTAAGTTGTAGAACCAATTCTGCTTCCAGAATCATGGAAAGAATTAAGGCCATGAACCCAGGTCCCCCTGTAATTACCTGGAGACCTTAATCAAATGAAGGTTTGTGAGCTCCGCTCAGATTACAGGGCCAGTCTTGGTGGGGTGCTGGCAACTGGCTTCCTAAACTAATGCTCTCCATTGATGGCGAACCTACGGCACGTGTGCGGCAGCAGGCCACCTGTTGTCATGGGTTGCTTCTCCAGCCCTGCTCGACAGCATGTCTGCAACAGCCACATTTGGAAGTCACTAGGTGGAGGGAAACCCCTACAGTATCCTCGGTTCCCTGGGCTCGAGGTATGTGGCACCGTTTCAGTATTACACGCGGTTCTCCGAAAGAGAATGCTTAAATAAGAATGAGAAGCCCAGAGTATTCTGCCTAAGAGCTGAGAAAGTTGGTCGTCACGAAAAGGTGGTCCTGTGGTGTTGAGATGTGTGGCTTCCCACCAGAAGCCCAGCTGTAGTTTGGAGGCAAACGTGCTGCTATTGGTGGGTCAGTTACTCTCAGGACATCCGTCCACAGAGCCACGCTGCTCTGAAGTGGCACAGCTGCTCACTGGTGGGTACAGTCAACGTGTCACTTATTTTCCAGACCACAAACCCATTTCAGTAAATGTTCTACATGCAGTAGCAGAATACTAGATGCATTTCTGTCTCAAAAATGCTGCACTTCTACTTTTAGGAAATGACAATAAAATTAAGCATACTCTAATTTTTTAAATAAAAAATAACATTTTGTAGATATTATAAAGAAAATGGCCTAACAATGGGGTCTTCTATGCTTATGAACTAGAAATTTCTCTAAAGAACTGAACCACATTATTTTTAAGGAACAATTGTGTCCTCCTCAACCTTCGCTCTGATATGTCCTAGTATGCTTTTTTTCTTCTATTCTCTGGTTTATGTTGATTTGTGATCTGAAGTCTGGGTTTAGAGTAGTTTAAATTATAAATAAAGCAAATACTATAACAAAGCAAAATGTTGAAGTTCCCATCACCCAGTGGAGGAGAGCGGCCAGTAAAGGAAAGATGCCTAGCGCCGCAAGAAGCTTTCATTTATTACCTTCTAGAAAGAGGAGCTAGATTACCCAGCATGGCCTTGAACTGCTGAGCTTCTATCTCTGCAATTAAAAATATTAGTTTACAAATAAGAGTAGAAGTTAGTCACTGCCTGCGGTATACACCTCTGTCCCAGCACTCTGGGGACCTGAGGCAGGAGGATTGCAAGCATGGGCAATTGAGCAACTTAGTAAAACCTTATTTCAAAAGATAAAGAGGATTGGGGATGTAGCTCAATTTCCAGTACTGAAAAACAATAAAATTATTGAGGCATGGGGCATGTGACTATAGTCCCAGCTACTTACAAGGCTGAAGTAGAATTATTTGATACCTTGAGTGTTGAGGCCAGCCTAGTAACTTAGAAAGACCTCACCTTAAAAATCTAAGGGTAAAGTTCTACCCCTAACTCCGAGCTTGGTTTGTTTGTTTGTATTTTAGGGAAGGGTCTACAGGGTGTTCAGGGTCTCACTACTAGATCAGACTCATAGTGATCCACCTGTTTACAGCCTCCCAAGAGCTGGGATTACAGGCCTAAGCCACCACACCCAGTCTCATTTGCTGACTCAGCATGCCTGGGGTGGGGGCCAGAATGACAGGCCTTGGGATCAGATCCCCAGCCCCTGCACCTGCTTGCAGGTGCTTTAATCCACTGAGCTATTTGGCCGGCCCTCAGAGCTTGGTTATTGCCATGATCCAGAAACTGCCCTACCCCATTCATACATTGATGTCCGGCCCCCACAGTAACGAGATTAAGAGCTGGGACCTCAGGAAGTTACTAGGTTCAGAGTGAGTCCCCACTTACATTTAGGATGATTTCCCTGACAGAGGGGCTCGAGGGGGTTTCTCAGCTCCCACCACAGGCAGTCGTCATGTGTGAAGCACAGGCCCTCAACGGACCCACCTCAGCTGCCCCCTGCGCCTGGGGCTTCCCAGCCTCGAGAGCTGCGCGCAGTCGGTTTCTACAGTTTATTAATTCGCAGGCTAAGGTCATTTTACTGCTGCCCAAAAGGACTAAGACAGTCATACACACACTTAATCTTTCTCAAAATGAGCTAAGAAGCCTATTAAAAGGGATAAAGAATGTTAAAATTGCTTCTGCCCACACATATTCACCTGAGTAAGACAGAGAAGAGAGAGAGAGAGAGAGAGAGAGAGAGAGAGAGAGAGAGAGAGAGAGAAAAGAGAAAGAAAAGAAAAAAGGAAGGAAGGTCATTTAGGTAAAAGGAAAAATAAAACTCCCCAATCTTAAACCTTACTTATTTTGTGAAGTTACTTGGATTAAGCTGGCGGCAAGACTGTCAAAGCAGCAAGTGCGCTGGGCTACCCTTCGGACCCAGCAGCACTGAGTGTGGGACGGTGGTCAGCTCAGTGACCAGGTACTTTCAAATCCAAGGAGCATAGCAAAATGTGTGTGAAACAAGACCTTCTGGTTAATACAGTACACTGTAGTGGTCCTAATTAGGTCGTGCAAGATTTATGATTCTTTTAGTAAAGACAAGAACATGAGCGAATCAACATAACTTCTGCAATTAAGTGAACAAAATTTTGTATTTTTGAAAAGTGCATTGAAAAAGAAAGCCTGTTGGTATGTCTGACCCCAGGTCCAGGGGAGGCTGAGGCAGAAGGATCACAAAGTTGGGGGGAGCCTGGAATACATAGTAAGAGCTTGTCTAGAAGTTTGTGGGCTTATGATTTAAAGGATATTTGCAGTAAGCACACTGTTATTCTGAATTTACTCAAATCCCACAAATTATATGAAGACTCTAACATGAAGATGGTGTGTATGTGTTTATAAGTAGGTGCATTTGCACAATTCACCTGAAATATTTTGCTTGCAATGATCCTATAACTGTTTCTAAAAAAACAAAAAAAAACTCCAACCAAAACTTTTGTGTCAGTAGCTCTATTACACAAGAACCGAGGCTAAAATACTGGCCAGTGAGATCTGCTCAGAATAAAGCAGAATCACTTCTTGAATTAATTACTACTTGCTAAGACACTTTAAAACATATACAGATACAGTAAGAGTTATAACTGATTTAAGAATTTTTATTGAATTAAACTCAGTTACAAAAGAATATTCATTATATTGAATTTCAGCTATTTTGGGGCACTTTATAAAATCACTTGTGATAATCTAATGAAGTACTCCTTTACATACTAATCAAGGATGCAATCTCTCATCTTAGGATATATCTAAAAGAGCATCATTGAAATAAATTTGTCCTCCAGCAATCAGATTTAGGTGCGTCTTGAGAGAAAGGCATGTGTCTGAGAAGAGCTGACCAAGAACTAGGCCTGTAATTCCTGAATTTAGGGTGTGCTAGATCACAGGACAATAAAACTCTTAAAGCATAATGCCCCAACCTAACTCCATTTTATAGCTGTTCAGCAAACATTGGCTGAATTCATGACATATACACTGATGTCCACTCTGGATTTTGCCTCAGGACGGCAGCTAAACTCTCCCTGCCTGTGCCACAGGCTAGTGAGGAAAGGGGTGCAGCCGTGGCCCCTAATGAAGATAGCCAGAATTTCCTTTTGAAAGTTCTACTTGTAGGAGGCCATGGTGTCGCACGCCTGGAATCCCAGCCCTGGGGAGGCTGAGGCGGGAGGATTCTGGCAAGTTGGAGGCCAGCCTGGGCTACATAATGAGTTCAAGGCCAGCCTAAGTTGCATAACAAGATACTGTCTTTAAAAAAATTCTGTTTGTAAGTTATAAAATACTTAGTAAAGGACACATCTAAAATTACTAATCAGAAATTGACCCCAAAAATGTATTCTAAGATCCTATTAAGAAAGTTTCATTTGGAGCACTTTTCTGGCCAGTCGGAGGCCCTGAGTTTGATCCCAGCACAGATGGTGGAGGGGTGGAGGGGACATGAAAGGAAGAAAAGAAAAACTTGGTCAAGGGGGGAAAGCCCTCTTTGAAAGAAATTACAAAATTCCTTACCTTAGAAATATAGCACCTTGGTTATCAATACATGATCTTTTGTGAAGTCTCTTCCCTACACCTACACAAAAAGTTCATATTTTGAGTTTTAAATAAAAGCTTGACACTTTAAAATGTCTCATTTATGTCTGAGCTAATTTTTTTCATAGAACAAAGTATCCCATTTTAAATAGATGCTGCAGTTTCTCTTGTTTAAAGCAGTAGTTTGCCATTTCCTCTGATGTGTAGTTCTTTAAAACAAAATCAAAAACCTGTATTTCTCCGACCCAAGAGAAAACCAACCACGGCGGGCCTGAGCTGCCTGGCTCCATCGGAAAGCAAGGCACACTGCAAGCCTTCCTCGCCTCCTGAATGGAGTTGCATCGCTATTTTTTGTATATGCAGTTTCACATTTTATGCCCAGCTAGTACCCTATTAGAGGCTTCTTAGAAGTCCAGTAAGAAGTCATGTGTCATGGTAGCAGTATGGAGTCTTAAAGCGTGCCTAGCTTCTAGGAAGATAAAGGGCTACACAAATCTTGCAAACAAAACTTACCACTGTGTAGAGCCTATATGCCGCATTGAAGAGTTCATCCGCTGTTTCAATACCTGTATCTAAACATTTTTTTGGTACCTAAACACTTCAGATTGTGCGAAAATAGCCTAATTTTGACCAGTAAATTTGGGAAAATGTTGAAATGCTGCTGAGAGACTGCAGCCCAGGCAGAACTGGGAGGTGGCCTCCTGAATCATCAGAACAGTCCTCTGGCTGGCTTCTGGCTTCAGCCCCCGCGGAACCTCCTGCAGCCTCAGTCGTAAGCACAGTCAGCCCCCGTGCCGTGGACCCAGAGGCAGAGCTGGGCGTACTTGAGGGGCGTGATGCGCACGGCCACGTTGTAGTCCTGCTGCCCGCCGTGCACGTCCACCCACTGGTGGCCTGAGTAGACCGCGATCACCCTGCGCTTCCACTTCTTGCTGGCGGGCTCCTTCAGACGCAGATAGACCCCAGAGCCGGTGGAGCCCGACTCGGCGTCGCAGTACTGGTAGAGGAGATCGCTGGACTCGTCGGACACGCTGCAAAACCGGTAGACCAGCTGATCGGCCCTGTCCTTATCAAAGCCGGAGAAGTGGATCATCCCGCCGGGCACCTTCTTGATGGCCGGACTGATGCCCAGCTCCATGAAGGTCTTCCTCTGCGCGCGCTTCAGCTCCAGGAGAGCATAGTCATAGCCCAGGGCAGGGTCCCCGCTGTCTCCTCTGGCCCAGCCTTTCGGGATGTAGGTTCTTTTGACCCGGGTCCACTGGAAGGTGGGCCTCCCCTCTGCTCCTCTCCAACGCCCCCCAGAGCCCTTTTTTCGTCTTGCGCCCTGAGCTCTCTCCTGCAGACTCTCTCTGATGCTATCTCTTTGGTCGCCATCATTCGCTTCCCTCTTGTTCCTCTTGGAGCCTCTGCGCTTCCTGCCACCGCCTTTCTTTCTCATCTTCAGCAGCCCTACTCTTAGCTTCTTGCTCCCTTTCACGTAGTCCTTGCCATCGTGGACGCAGTGGGCGGCTGTCAGGACGTGCGTGGGCGAAATGAGGACGCCGCTGCAGCCGGTGGAGAGCTTCACGGCGGTGCTGAAGGGGAAGTTGGTGAGGAACCTCGCGTCCAGGATGCTGAACCTGCTGTCCGTGCCGTACACCTGTCTCCTGCTCCTCCTCCTCGGGGGCGCCCCTGCCGCCGTGCCATTCCGAGTGGGCTCCACGACCAAGCCTTGAACCTTCACCCTGGTCAGGGTGCGGGTGCCGTTCTCAAAGACCGTCTCGTAGGAGAGAGAATCCTCCAGCTCAGAAAGGCTGGGAGCCGGCTGCTCCTTCTGACACTCGATGCCACACATTCTGCTTGGCAGAACCTTGGCATCTCCCTCAAACCAGGGGCTGGCGAGGGGGAAAGTGCCTTCCCTCACCACCTGCGGAACTTCCCTCACGCGCCACGTCAAATCCTGCGCCACTTCCAATCCATCAAGGAAAGTCCAGCCGGGGGTGAAGAGCACCAGCCAAAGGAGCAGATTTTCCATCTTGTTCTTCTGTTCTGTCCTTAAAAATAAAAAGAGAGAGAGAGGAGCTTTACAGTGTTTCATTTGTAAATGTTACCTATTTCATTTAAGCTTTGAGCCTGAAAGTAGCCTAACCACAAATAGGAATTCTTATTTTTCACCCTCCTCAGATTTTACTGAGATTAAACAACGTGCTAAGCGGGTGCAGGTGACCTCGGAGCCATTCACTGTTCTCTACCCAGCTTTTGCTCCACCAGTCCTAACCCCTCTGCTGATGCCAGGGTTATGTTCTTTTCTCCCCCAGTCGTTCCAGATAATTTATAGAGCTATCAACATCTGTGCTGCAATCTCCTCATACCTCTTAGCTGTTTAAAACCAAGATGACTGTTTACTATGCAAACCATTGAACTAGGGTATGGATCTTAAATCTAGAATTTCCCATACTCTTTACCAAATAAAACATGTACCTTTCACTATAATTCTGAAGACCTTTAAGAAAAACCCACCAGAGTTCAACTGTATTCAAGTACAATTTCATTTGTTCAGAGTATGATGCACTGATTTTTTTCAATCTATTATCTCACCAAAGGACTGGACAAAAACTTGAAACTTTTAATCCCATCTCTCCCTTGTAAATTACACTTGATACAAAGCAACAAATGCACAGGGGAACACTCGCTCAGCGCATGCTCAGGTAATCATCCTTGGGGCAGGTAAGGGTTGTGGTCAGCTATGATCCCAGCGCTCTGGAGCAGAGGCAGGGGAATGGCAAGTTTAGTCCTAGCTGCGCATTTTAGTAAGATAACAATATAAATAAAAAGGGTTGGGGTGTAGCTCAGTGTGAAGATCCTGGCTTCATTCTCCAGTGAGAGAAAGGGGGCCATGTTTGAAGCCCAAATTTTGCTTGTCTGCCCAAAGAATACATGAGACCAGCATTTCTCAGACTGGCCTCAGTGTCAGCAACTGCAGTACCACTTGAGATTCTGGGAAAAGCACTCATTATCAGAGCCCACCCGACACCTACAGCTAGAAGGCAGGTCCACCCTGCTATGTTCTAACTGACTTCCCAGAGGATCCTAACACTCAAGAAAGTTTCCAATCCACTGTGGCAGCCCAGGTCCTGGCGTAGCAGCTTGACCTCTACCCTAAAGGGAAGCCTTGCCGGAGACGAGTGCTTAACGGGGTTTCAAATAACATTGGCTCATCTTTATGTACAAAAGACATTGCTTCTGGCTCTCTTCTTTCACCATGTTGGCAAATGATAATATCAAATGGCTCAAGCTTTAACAAATACAACATAACTTTTGTATAGTGGTTTAATACACCGAGCAAGAATCACATTGAGTGGGCTTCTCTGCAGCGCCTCCAACCCCCAGTGCCCCACTGCAGGGTATGGCAGGAAGGAGGCCGTGCCCACATTTATCCTTGTGCATGGCACGGGCAGAGAGCTTTGTAATAGGACCTCTGCATCACAGTAATAAGAGGATAGTACTTTAGTTAGCCTGTCTAATTTGGTCTGTAATTTAAAAGTGGACAAGTGTTTAAGGACGCTTTCCTTTGGAAAATCTAACTTTGCCTTGTGGTAAAATGTCAGTGTAAATGATAGCTCTTCCTGATGGCCCAATCCTGCCGGCAGCGCAGGGGCTCTGAGCACCCACGCCCATCATCCAAGGAACACTGACTCCCTGAACTCGAGACGTGGGCCTGACTCAGGACGCAGCCATAGTGTTCTGGAAGCTGTCCCAGGCCGTGGCTTCCTCTGTCCCCACCCATTTTTCTGTTTTCTAGCTGTTACTGCCTACCATCACTTTTCAGGTGTCTTGAACTTGGGGCTGCAAATTCCAATGTCAGTTAATCAAAGTGAGGTTGCACCCGTCGCTCTCCGCGGTGTCTGCGAACTGCGAGCATGTGCCTGACCGGGGGAAGGTCCCGGAGAGAAACCCTGGAATGCCTGTGGGTGTGAGGTGCTCTCCCTGGTGGCGCAGACGCAGTCACTACCAGTGCCCAGCCTGTTGATAGAAATGAGCACATGCAACTAGAGGGGCAGTGTGCTAATTACTCTTCCACTGCCTGTTATATTTTCTCAGGAAGATTGCTCTTAGCATTCAGAACAGCTGTACATTTAGAGCTGCATTAGGGTTACAAGTGGAGGAAGATTTGCGTGCAGGGTGGGGCCCATCTTTGCACTAATTGGGTGTTGGACTTTGTTTGGTTTTTGCTCGATGAATAAGTTTATTGGTCTTTATCTGAAACATCTTCATAGAAATTTGGTTTAACTCTCAGCAGCCCGCTCCTGAGCTCTGAGCAAGCTTGCCTTCTTTTGAGCTACCTAATCTTTCTACTGGGCACAGGACATTTTGGGATGGTTGTGCCTCTTCTTTTTAATTTCTCTCTTTGGCTTCTTTTCGTAGACTGATTCCCTCGTACAGCAGCATGAGCTTTCTTATACATCTCCTCCATCATGTCTGGAGTTACATTGTTCTTTATGCACTGAGAGAACTGTCTCTTGGAAGCACCTTCATCTTCTTCCATTAGGTAGCGCATATAGTCTGCGACATTCTGACCCATGATGTGCTTCCGATGTACTTCTGCGCTGAACTCCTTGCTTTCAGAATCATAACCAGAGAATTGTTTGGTGCTGTGAGGGACAGACAAGCCTCCATCCACAGCACCCTTTAGGGCTGCAAAAGCTTCATTGCCAGTTGTAGTTCTGGTGAGGCCTGCATCCAGGTAGCAGGTGAAGGCACCAGGTTTGGCAGCAAAGCTTTCCACATTGTATTCATCTCCATTTACCTCCACCTGGCCTTCATAGACTTATCCACTCCACACCTACTGAGAAGCCTGCAGGCCGGCAGCAGGCCAGTACAATACGCTGCAGCATAATTTGTTAGGCCAATTTTCACACCGTATTTTGGTAGTTCGTGTGCATATGCTACGCACACTATCATATCCCCTTCAACATGGGCATAAGCAATCTGATGAATGATATCTCTATTAGTTACATGAACTATCATCCTTATTTAGGCATGTTGTACTCATTTTTGTCCTGTATTACCAAGTGTTTCCTAGCATAGTCATCTGTTTTACCCTCTCATCGTCTTCTAAACTTCACTTGGTATCTCTTAAAGTAGGCCTTATTCTTGACAACCTTAACAAAACCCAGCCTGTGTAATATAGACCTGTGTCCACGGCTCTGCACGGACCTGCAGGCCCAGAAGCACCACAGGGGGAAAAGGGCCAGAACTCATGCGCAGGTGCAGTGTCAGTGAATGACTCTGGTAGCTCGCTCATTTTCCAGCTTTCACTTTCCTCATCAGCAAAGCAGGGATTAAAGCAGAGTCTACCTCCAAATGCTACTGTAAAGTTCCATGAGATAATAGAAGCACAGGACACCGAGCCCACAGCGCAGTAAGCAGTCGGTGCACGTGTTCTCATTATTACTCTAATGGGGGAATTAACAGCACTTTAAATGTGTTTATGAGCCAAAGATAGACAGCATTTGGTTCCTAAATAGACAAATTTACAGTCAAATATTTTTATTTCAAGATAGTTTCAGGGTAATGAAGAGATGGAAGGAGGGAAAGGAAGAGGAGAGGAAGGGACCAGGAAGGGAAGGAAACACTAATTAAGGTGCGCTAGGCCCACGAACCAATCCCAGGATGAACGTGACCACTGTGTACTGCAAACACAATGGTAAATACAAATGGTAAGAAAGAGTTTCCATGGGCTGGTGTGATGGCTCAGTGGTCTAAAGCACCTACTTA